ACAGATACACAGATCATTACTGATGTCAAAATCAGCAGTAGTTATGGTGTATGAGAGCTTAACTCAGCTCACCACTGAAATTTTAACATTGACCTGAATGGCAGCTGTAGTAACTGTTGGTAAGCAAGCTTTTTTTTTTTTTTTTTTTTTTTAATTACTTCAGCTCTAGGTTTGTAATGTCATTTAGGTATCTTTATCTAAAAAATTAGACATTATGTTTTAAATGAAGAACTGTTAGATAATTTGCACATCCAATTAAAAACTACTTATGGCCAATTTCATTTAGCAATTATGAATCTGGAAACTAGAGAACAGTGTTGTGCTGGGCCAAAGACAGTAAATGCTGAATGTATACACATTAAAGTCACCCTAGTAATTAATTAATTTGATATATGTCTAAAGCTGGGATTAGACCTCAGTCTATTTATAAAAAAAATTCTGAAGCATGTTCTTAACATCTTCTTTGAAAAAAAGTTAACCTGTCACAGTAAGCTGTCCTGTGTCTTGTACATGTGACTGCTTTTACTACTAAAGAAATCAATGCTTACTCTGATTCAGTATCCACATTCACAGTGCATGTTTTCGTATGATCTACCTAATTCTTGGCTACTTTATTTATGGACTTTAACTGGTGAAAAAAAAATAAATGATTCAAAAAAAGTATCAGCTTAGAAAACTGACAAATATGCAGCAAAAGATTATGGAAACATGCAGTGGCTTTGCTAAAATTAACAACAGTAAATAGAAAAATGTAACTGATGTATTACCAGTCTGTGCCATAAATTTAGCAGCATCAGCTTGTTCCTGAGGGACCCTTTTCTCATGAACAGATCGAGGTCGCTGACTTTTAATTGTATGATCTCCCATCATTCCAAATTCTAAAGACAGAATAAAGGTTTAAGAAAGCTCGTGTGCAGACATTTCTCAAAAGTTACATACTGTCTCATGCAATATGTTCCTGAACGTACCTGGAAGGTGCTGGTAAGAGTCAGGCAAGTGATCATGGCAGTTAACATCAACTTAACTTTGCTACACTCAGCTTTTAATAAAATACTTAAATTTGTGTCTGCAGATTTTCAAACATGATTTTATCGTATGAACCAACATTCAGTGTAGTGACACATAGTATAAATCAGCTGTATGACATGGGACATAAACAATTGTTCAAATGCAGACATTTTATTCCTGTATTTTGAATCAGTGCAAACCACACTAGAAAATGATTGTGATAGTGTTAGTCATTGCTGTTCTATGGAAGAACCTGCTACTCCTCCAGAGGACTTCTATTTCTGCACTTGTCTTTTAGGCTGACGAAGCCTTCAATAGAGATAGTGGTCATCTTTGGGAATAGTGGCAATACAAAATAATAATAATAATGGAGCCAACAAACTGCTCAATTTTTAGACTGAATCCAGCAGAACAAGTATTTGTGAACTGTTTCTTTTCTGAAAAAAAGACTAGAGGTTATATCTTGCCCTTGAAAAATAACTCCCCATTGATTTAAATAGGGAAAGCTACGTAAAAATCAATGACAGAAAGGCCCCAAGTGTGGGAAACAAGAGTGCTTCATTTTTTTATCCTGTTGCTGCTGTCACTTTCCCTCTCCGGTCCTGTGCAAACCTCCTCGCCTTCTACCTCAGAGTCCATTTTTCCTTTTTGTGATGAAATGTGGAGGGTCCTTTGCACTTAGAGGGGGACCGCTGCATCTTCAGCACAGTTCCCTCTGGTCCTCCCAGGCACACACAGCTGTCTGCAGCTTGGTGCTAAACAGTCAGTTTCTGTTGGGACTCTAATTTAAGAAGCATGTGCTGGGAACCATGTGTTAACATTGAAACTACTTCAACTATAACCACATGAAGTTTCTCATAAGGCAGAAAGTGTCTGAAGCTAGGAGTATAAACATTAAAAAATACCTTTCTGCTGGAAGGTTTACCTTGCAAGTACAAAATTCAAAATTCTTCCCAATTTGTAAAGTCACAAAGATAGTAAAACTTACCTTCCTGCCCCAAAATATGCAAAACATTATATAAGATATAAATGCTACTAAAAATATTATTTGCAAACACATTGTTTTGATAAATCATGAAAATAAACCTATTGAAATGTCTATTTAGAGTAAAGAAATAATAGAAGGCAAATACATTTTTAAGGAGTCAGTCAGCGGAGAGGTTTTTTCCTTTCTAGTAAATTATTAATATAGTTCTTCAAATTAGTGTTTCTTTTTGTAAATATTCATTAATGGCACCACTTAAAATATAAATTTAATTATTCATTTGAGAACAGCAATGCACTTTGCATTCTAAAGAGAATATTTGAAAATCTAATTAATAAAATATATTTTGAGAATTAAACATTCCAGAAATATATATAAAAGATAATTAAATTATATACACAAACATACATATAATATATATAGATATGTATGTGTATACATTCATGTGTGTTGTAAAATTTTATGAATATATTTTTACAAAATACATCTCTTCTACAGCTCCTTCATTTATGATAACTTTATATTCTGTGGGAAATCTCCTACTATATTAAAGTTTTACAATCAATATGCTAATGCAAATTAAGATCAGAAAGATACTTTTACCATTTTTACAAGGTGCAGTACAGATGACCATTTAAACTGTAATTAACAACACAATGAAGGACAAGAGATATAACTATTACACAGCTTTTCCCCCAAAGAGGCTGTGAATGCAAGGCATGTTTGCTCTGAGTTTGCTGCCTGCGTGCTGCCTACTTGTCAGGCATTTTAAAGGATAAAGCACCCTTCTTGCAGAGGACTTAATTCAATTTTTTAAAGTTACAGAGTGCAATAATGGGAGACTTTTGCTAGAGGAAGGCTTTCCAGAGGCATACATGGAGGTGGTGAATGCTCCGGTCCCAGTCCCGCAGCATCCCATGCTGGGTGCAGGCACATGCAGTGTCCCGCAGGACAGAGACCTCTGGTGAAGAGGCAAAGGCAAGTCTGGGAGATCAGTTTTCAGGTTTTTGGTTTATACCCAGAGTAGCTCCATTCACAGTGATGGAGTTACTCATGAGTATTACCAAGCAAACTAAAACACAAGTAGTTGATGCAGGATCTAATCATGTTGCAACATTTTTATTTTTCCACTTAGCAACAAGACATTTTTAATTTACACATTCAGTTCACTTCAACTATTGCTGATGATCTTTGAGATACACTTTTCAACTAATCTGCCTTTGATATATTAAACATTTATATAGTAAAAATATAAATTTATATGAAAGATAAAAATTTCATAATAAAGATTAAAATATTTCTTTGTAAGTTTTGTCAAAAAATGGAACTAGACTTATACAGTGCTCTCATTTTCATATTCAGCTGAAGTATTTAACCAAATGCTGCATGGGAACAAAAGCAGTAACAGGAAATGCAGTGTACTGGCATGAGTGAAGACTTTAAGGCCTCATTAAAATTCAGGCCTCATAAGAACAGAAAAATAAGGGTCAAGTACATTTTTGTAATGGGATCAGAAGTGTCCAGTTTCTGTGTATAAGTACAAACAGTGCTCTCAAAATTGTTTAATCCAAGATCTCAATAGTAATGCATTTTTTAATGAAGCATTTGATGATAAAATATCTTAAGTGACTGCTGCAGTTTACAATAAATATTAAATAAAATAAAACTTTCCTTCATTTTCAGATCCTAGCTAAATACCGAATGTAGAAGATGAACCAGTTACATGTTGGTTTTTTTTCCCCTCAATGCTTCACAGAGGAGAGGTATTTAAATGCTTACTGGGCTGGGAAAGCATTTTAACCCAAGTCAGTCTAAAGTATGACTAAATGGCACAGTAGTTTCAAGGACCTGTTTGTGTGATACCGACCTTTTTATTCTATTCAGTGTCTGGCATAGAGGTGTCTTGCAAGGTCAAGTCACCATGATTCAAGACCTGATGTCTGGGATACTATATTGGATGTTTGAACTGAGATTCTGAGTAAAGGAATTTTTCTCGTTCTCACTCTTCTTACCTAGATTTTGCTGCTGAAAATAAGTTTTCTAACCTAGAAGAAGGTTTTTTTGTAGACATCAGTTTTTTGGTGATGCATGTCCTAATTTTCTCTTGGGTGAAACAGGACAATCCTCTGCTTTTACCTCAAACACTGATATTAATCAGATTGTTTCATTAAATAAAGAGGGACAATTAATCTTTTCAGTAGCAGACAGGTACATGGCCTGATCCAGAAATTGCCAATATGATTCTAAGTTGGGCCTGGAGACATGAAAGGGTTTTAATAGTTGGGTTTTTGTTTTGTTTTGTTTTTTGTTGTTTGTTTGTTTTTTTTTTTAATTACATTGTTAAAGCTATAACCTATCTGCATGAGAATAAAACTCATAAAGAAATACCTCAAAATGTAAATAACAAATAGCGTTATGGGGAACCTTGAATGGACCATTTTAACCAGACTGTGACTTATAACAAATCATAACATATTCCAAGTATTTGTGGTAGAAAATACGAGGTTTAGTTATCTGATAAAATTATTTATCCTGCTGCCAGAGGTCCTTTCATGGCTATGGAAGCACAATAGTTTCCTGCAATAGGATGTGTATTCTTTCTCTCCTTAGCTGTACACAATGGATCAATACTTGAAAGTATTTTAGCAATGCATATGTATTAACATGCGTATGGTTTATCATTTAATTTTACATATAACTCTGAAGCATGTAATATAGTTCCATGCCTGCTAAGAGTGAAAATTATGAAATTCCAAAGTTTACAGTTGAGTATTATTGACAACAACTCTTATCTGTAGTCCCATTGGTTTTACCTTAATTTTTATGTTATATTATGGGAATTTTTATTCCTATTGAGTAAAGTTTTTAGTTTTTAAAGAAGAAGCTAAAATCTTGCAGCCAATGTAGGTGTACGTTTTTAGGAGAGAAGAGAGGTGCCATGTGCTCTCTGTAGGAACAAAGAAGAAAAAAAACATCTGTTAACAGTATAAAAATGCAAAGTAGGAAGACTGTAAAATACAAAAGAAATACCGGCTTTGTAAGGTTCTACTCATCAGTGGCTAATCTTTGCTTTTTGACAAGTGGATAAGCATTAAAATTAAGATTCATGTCAAACAGATTTTATGCCTAGACTCTTTAATAATATTTGTAAGGCTGTTACATATATATCCTAGTCATCAGATGTCATTATAAACCATGTTGGTTTGGCTCTTATTTTTATGTCACATTTCATGGGAAATTCACACTGTAAATATATTGATCTGGTTATAGGTGTAATATATAGTATGAATTGTACTACTAATGGCATGGAACACACATTAATTAAAAAAAAAAGGTGTTTTCAGCATAGAAGTTGTTGACAATAGCAGGAATACTAAAAAAAAGTTATTCTGAGACCTTTAGGGTTACTCCTTCAGGGTGTGAAAAATTTAAAGTAACCTCTGAGAGCTGCTGAGCATCCTCAGCTTGTACTGAAACGCCTGGAAGGTGAGATGGTGAGTAGCAACCTGAAGTCTGATCAGAACCTTAAAAGCAAGAAGAAGCAATCAATTCCCCAAAGTCACTATGATTTTCTTCTCTCACCCACAGCACTCTGGAAGCGTACTTCATACTATCCTACCCACTCCTGAACTGTAAATAGTCAAATACTCTTGAGTATGGAATGAATATTAAAGGCCTTGCAGACAGAATGTGCATTAGTGTAAACTGTTTCATGTGCAGTAGCCTGGCATCCTCTCTGTACCAAGATACAAATGTTTTTCCCAGAAATTGTGCAAAATGCTGATATAAGCCCCAGGTGAAGATGAAGAAGGGATGCAGAGGGGAAAAGGAAGAAAGAAGAGGGCTATAGAAATATACAAAGAACCAGTTGGTTTCAATTAATTT